TTTTGTTTTGTTTTGTTTTTTTTTGGTTTTTTGAGACAGGGTTTCTCTGTGTAGCTTTGTGCCTTTCCTGGAACTCACTCTATAGCCCAACTTGGCCCCAAACTCACAGAGATGTGCCTACCTCTGCCTCCCGAGTGCTGGGATTAAAGATGTGCACCACCACCGCCTGGCTAGTGCCCTCTGCTGACATGCAGGAATATATGCAGACAGAACAATGTATACAAAATAAATAAATAAATCTTTGAAAAAGAAAAAAAAGAAGTCTCTCTAGTGGCTGGTTCCTTTATGTCTCTGATCTTACAGCATTTAGCCCAATATCTGACTCCAGGTTTTTATTATTAGGACCAATTAGAATTCCCACTACATGCTCTTGCTTTAATTGATAACAGTATACTGTCCAGACTGGAACAACTAGGCAACAAAGAAAGTGACTGCAAAACTTTGCCAAGACAAGGTAGGACAGTCCTTCAATTTCCCTGTTTCTCAAAAATATCTGTTATATATTCTAGGCCTGTAGGCAAAAGATGGATGCCCCAATGATACAGAAGAACTTCAAGTGATTATCCAGGCAGCCAGAAGTCCCTGTCATTAAGTAACATTTCACCCTTCTGGGGGCTTTTATCAAGTTAAATACTAATAATTAAATTTAAAGTTTTCCTTAGTTATAATAAAAGTTAAATTAGACATAAAACTTTTTTGATTCAAAAAGATAAAATAAGTTCTCTAAATTTGCCAATATAAATGAACTGGATATTGTAACTGTAATGCTTACTTGACAACTGTTATTGTTATGTATAGCTTTACTACGTTAAAATTAAAACCTTCCTTTTTAATTAGACAAAAAGGGGAAAATGCTATAGAATAAACCTTTTGTACACTGTGAAGATGTGTTACTTTCTTTGTTAATAGAAAGCTGAGTGGCCCATGGCTAGGCAGGATTTTCAGGGCACAGAGAGTGATGAGAGGAGGGGGAAGGGTAGAGGCAAAGGAGTCACAAGGGTGCAGAGGAGAAAGAGGTAAATGCACCATATATAGAAAGGTACTGCCAGACGAAAGCATGCAAATAAGACATATGGGTTAATTTCAAATGTAAGAGCTAGTTAGTAATAAACCTGAGCTATTGACTGAAAATTTATCATTAAGTCTCTGAGTGGTTATTTGGGCAGAATTGGTAGAACAGAGCTGATCATGGTCCTGAAAAAAACTTGGAATACACTCTTCAGCCCTGCTCCTGTTACAAAACTGGAGGACAAGGTAAATGTACACTTGGAAGAAGTTTGAGGATCAAACTTGAGAAGAGGAACCAAAAGATCTCTTCCTACCATTTGGACTCATGGTAATATTAGCCATAATGCTTCCTATAGGGGTAGCCACAGTGTCTAGCCAGACTAGATCTGAAACAAAACATTTTAAAGCTCTGATGTATATGGGAACATCAGGTTTATACATAACAGTTTATAACTTCTCTAACAACTTTTGAATTGGAATGTATCCAAATAACAGTTAGAACTAATAGATAATAAATAGGTTATCTTGAAAAAAAACATAACAAAACAAAACCCTCAAAAAGCATGAAGATTTACAACACACTAAAAGGCCTAAATCTACCAACTAACATGAAGGAGAGGCACACAATCACTGTACCCAGAACTAGTTTGATAGGCATCCCTGAATCAACAGTGTAAGGCCACCCTGTCCTACTTTTCCAATAGTTGCGCCCTGCTGAACCACCCGCTGGTAATAGAGTTAAAAAAAAAACCGGCCTTTAATGGCCAACACAACCTCTTTAAACCATATGCTAATGATTTGATGCTTCCCTAAGATCAGTGGGGAGTGAACTGTCCAAGCTGACTCTGGTTTGTCGGAGTTTTATCCAACTGCTCAAAACCCCCACATTGTTATAATCAACAGAACTTAAACTCTTGAGCCTTCTGCCTCTGCCTACCTCCCAGTGGTGGAATTATGGGCGTGGCTTAATAATCCCAGTCATGCTCACTTCGGTGTAGAGATCTTTATGGCATGAATCTGCTCTCAACCTTTGCAAATAAATGAGACTCAGTCTCACCAGCACTGAGTTCTCTTTCCCTGATCTTACACTACAATGGAGACTCAACAAAGAGAAGAACTTTGGAAATCACTATAAAGAGGAGCACAGGTAGTGGGTAGTAGTCGGGGAATTACAAGGCTTAAGAGACTTAAACCATCATACACTTCTGAGAGATGAGCTTCAACAACAAAGACATGAAGGAGAGACCCAAAGAATGACTCCCACAGTGTCATGTTCCAGGGTGATGGGAAAGCCTGCCTTTCTGGGGGATATTTGGACCTCAACCCTGGCCCCAAACCCCTCATTCCTACACACCTGGCTGCACGTTGGCTGCTGCTTGTCTCTTTACATCTGAAGAGTCTTGTCTTTGCTCCAAAAGTGTCACCAGGTGTGACTTAGACACAGCAAGACCTGTTTGCAGGAAAAAAGAAGGAACAAGATTGTTTATGTGTTCTTTTACTTGGAATTGACATGAGTCTTCCAGTACATGGCTTATAAGGAAAGAGATGATGAAATAAATGATTGCAGACAGTCATTTCCTTCAATGTTTTCTGACAGGATCACTGCACTACATGAACGAATTTATAACATCCACATTCTGAATTTCATATAAAGGGGAAAAACATTAAAACTGAATTGTGAAACACTGTCATTAACAAGTGTACTCCATGTCTCATGCCATTCAATTTCTAACAGTCCCAGTAGAGTGAAGGAAACATACATCCAACACAGAAAGGTTAAACACAAAAAGAAAACAGTGAAATGATTCTTTTATTAATTTATTTTTATTTCTCATATGCATTGCTATTTTGCTTGCATGTATGTCTGTGTGAGGATGAAGCATTAATCTAATTAATCTTTATCAATAAAAAATCTGGAGTCAGATATCAGGGTAAGAAATTGAAAGATCAGGAAAGCAGGGAGCAGCCATAGGTGAATTCCTGACTCCTGTTCCTCCCTCCTGTCTCAGCCCCACTTTACAGCTTTCTGTCCGTCTCCCTACAGTCCTCCAAACCTCTATGATCAGCCAGTTGCCAGTTCTGCCCTCTGACTCCAGGGAAGTTACTTTATTTGGCAGAACACAATCAAAATATCACACCACATGAGGGTGCCAGATCTGGGAATTACAGACAGTTGTGAGCTGCCATATGGGTGCTGGGGAATTTAACCCCATTCTCTAGTGGAGCATTCAGTGCTCTTAACAACTGAACCATCTCACCAGTCCTGAAATGATTTTTAACACAGCAATCTCCTTAATTTTTCTGAAAACAAAGGGTATGAAAATGGCTGTTGAAATGCTCCCATGAGATACCATACAAATTGAGGAAACCACATGTTGATGGTGAAATGAGAATTCACAATGGATGAGAGCCTCACCAAGGAAATCAAGGTTGCTGTAATTCTCCAACATCACATCCCTGTACAAATTCCACTGAGCAGGCTCCAGGCATTCCCTCTCTTCTGCAGAGAACTCAATGGCCACATCCCAGGACAGCATTTCCTGAAATAAAGATCAATGAATGATATTGCACTTTAGTTTAATTAAAACCATTAATAATATAATAACCAAGATACATTGGGCTGGAAATTCCTCTTGTCTACTTGATACTAGCTAGGTTCATTTGTGAAGAAAGAAACATAATTGAGAAAATGCCTCCCTAGGACTGTCCTGTAGCCAAGACTAGGTGGCATTTCCTTAATTAGTGATTGATATGAGATAGCACAGCCCATTATGGGTGGTACTTGTCCTGGGCAGGCAGTTCTATATGATGTAGGAATGCAGGCTGGGGAAGTCAGTAAAGAGTTTTTCTGTGGCCTTTGGTTCATTTCTTGCCTCAGGTTCCTGCCTTGACTTCCCTCAGTGATGAACTGAGTTGTAGTATAAAATAAACCCTTTCTTCTTCAAGCTGTCTCTCATCATGATCTTTATCACAGCAACAGAAACTCTAACACAGGCATCGTGTGCCTGTGGACACAAACTAGATTTTACCCAGGATGATAGAGAGCTAGAAATGTTTCTTACATTACTCATCTATGATTGAAGTGGTCACATGTTCTTTCACTGGACCCATCTTCAAAGAAAGACAAAAGATCCTGTGAGCCCAGTTGGAGAAGATCCATTTAAGATAGAAACGTAAAATGAAAACATCCACAGAACATGCAGTTAGTACCATATGCTACTACACACCACACATACACACATTTCTCACAGGAGAAAGTCATGGTCGGGGAGAAGGAATTTCTCAACAGTTGATAAGCACAATCACGAATATGAAGTGAAATGAAAATACAGAGT